CCTATATTCCTTTTACACACATATATACATACTATTTTTCATATTATAAAACGGGAGTGAAAAATAAAATAAAATGCGAGTGAACAGCTGGTTGGCTTGCCCAGTCTCATTTCAATACAGTGTATCTCTCATCCTACCCATTCATTCACCCAAACCTAAACCATGTCAGGGGCTGTGCTAAGTGATGTGAGAGAGAAAAAGGTCGAGCCTAGGTTTTATCCTCATAGAGTTAACTGTTCAGTAGGAAGACTGAAGTATTAAATACTTGGGATAAACTGAGTCAAATGCCTAGTATATGGTACCAAAGGAGGGCTCAAGGAGCGAATTGGGTGGGGATATTCAGGTGAATGTCCTATAGAAGAACATTCACATAAAATGTGTAACACTCCCCAACAAGCAGATGGAGGGCTCCAACAAGACGGGGATGGGCTTGCAGAAAGTCTCAGGTCTCCATTTCCAAAAGGTCCTTGGCCTCCAGGTCAGCTGTTAGTACAACCAGGCCTCTAAGATACTGACCCCTTTGGCTTCCCTTATTTAGCTCTTACTCTGACCAGTTACTGTATAAATTCCTCAGTTGAGCTTCATCCTTACAGTCTTTTCTTATAACTGTCTAGGTTCCTAGACCCAGTTTCTTATTTGTTGGTTTCTTAGCTTAACTCTGCTATTCAGCTGTCATCCCTCTCTCCTATCCGGCCAGGCATCCTTCCTAATTTCCTCACACCAGTACATGGTTTCCTCACAGCAAGCTTTAGTTGTCCCCACCTGTCCCCAGGTAGTACTCAGCTCAGCTACCTGTGCAACCTGAGACCAGGATTTAACCCCCAAAGATGTGGCAGCTGGACAAACAATAGTTATAAAAATGGCAGGTTGTTCTAGGAAACTTTGTCTTTTAGGGAACCCTATGGCAGTATCTCCAAGCTTAGTGTCTCCCCGCTCGGAGGCTGGTGTACTGTGTGGCAGAGAATGAGCACAATAATGTGTAGAGAATAACTGACAATTAAATCATGCCCACTATGCCCCCATCAACACCAGGCCTTACCAGATACTACGTATAACAATTAACGCTCGGCCCCGGGTTTCCTAATAAAGACAGAGAATATCAGCAAAACTGATTCCTATAGATGAGAGGGTGATGTCAGCATGGCGTCCTTAGCCTCACAGCTCTACACTCACCAAACTCCTGCATTAACTGCAAAGCCTTGTGGTTTACTTTAAGATAATTAAGCTACTAGGTTCCCTTTATGGAATACTGTCTCATTGCACATCACTGCAATTGTCAGCAATTTGGAGCCAAACTGTCATTAAAATGCCTGTAATTTTAAGGTGTTAATCACAGCAAAATGAATTTAAAGAATTCCTAAAGGTACACTGTTTTACTACATTTAAGTCAGTGCTGAAATTAGTGTTCTATCTTTACGAAATGTTACTCTATATACCCCGGAAGTTACCTGAGCTAACAGAGCCGCCATTTCCAATGCCAGGTCCTTGTTCAGAGGGAAAAGTCCGTTTATTATTTGGTCGTTTGTCTGATACATTAACAGCAACTTCTCTCTATCAGTCTCTCCACGAGCTTGCATGGAGAAATACAGTCTGTAAAAGGAAAAAAAAAAAAAAAGAGGGAAATTTTTCATTAAGGAGGTTGTTCTAACATAGTTCTCTACGTGATGTAAGCTTAGATCATTACTATCTGTGAATGGCTTCTGTTTCTGTTCTTTACAACACTTGCAGCAAACTGAGGGAAAACTGCTCTGAGGTGGAGGTTGAGGGACATTTCTATGTTATTTTACGCTATTTTCTATGCCCCGAAATACCAAACCCTGAAGTGTTACTGAGGAAGGAAATAAGACACGGAGTGAAATTAAATATGCCCTTTCTTTCGGGGAATGAAATGAATCCTTCATCCATGGGCTGTATAAACCCAATTTTCAAAACATTCGTGATATTTCCTAAGTACCTTGGACACACCAGGGAATAGGAAATGCAGGCTTCAATACAAAAACAACATCAAACTGGCCAGGGTGGGTGGGGGAGCAGTTTACTCTGGGGAATCTAAAAGATAATATTTGTACATTTAAATGTTTTGACTTTTTTTTCTGTTTTTGGCCACATTCTCATAAGCAGTTTTAGGAGCTCAACAATAGGTTACATGTTATTAACAGCTGTTGAAATACAAGATGGCTTTTGTCTGCCTAGCTCTTCATCACCTCAGTGACCCTCTTTCTTTATCACTATGCTGTTCCCTTATCTGTGAGATTTCTGGGGCTCTGGCTTCAGGCTGCAGGTCAGGCATGGGGTGCAGTAAACGTGGCAGTGGAGTGGGTAAGCAGCACCTTGCATACTTTAAGATTGCCATGACAACACAGTGGCAGGAAGAGAGATTTAGATGCAGCATTTGTTAGGTGTGTGCCATTGGCTCTCACTGAATTTTCAGCCTTTTTCTCCCCATACACTTGAGAGAGAGGCCACACTGCCGTCAAGCACACTATCTCTCGAAATAATTATCTCAAATAGCAGGGACTGAGAGGGCGGCAGGTCAGAATCGCAGAGGAAGCATGGGTGGTGGGTACCTTGAAAAGCCCTCCTTCCCCATGATTCTGAAAATTCTTTCCACCCATCCCAGCGTAAGAATCACTGTCCTGGGCAGTCATTCAGAGCAGTTTCTTGGACACATAAATCCTAAGCCCTATGTTAATTTGTAACTGCATGATGAGAAATGGTTAACTGGTAGAAGAGCATGCCTGAGTAATAGAAATAGATTCTAAATTCAAAATGTTAGCAAAGTGATATAAAACAGAGAATAAAGTTGGGAAAAAAAAAAAGCTCTCCCTCTTTGGCATGCAAAGATTTTTGTACATAGCTTATTGTCTCCACTAGAGTTAAAAGGTATGTCTTATTCATCACTGTAATCTACCAGGGTTTAGCTAAGTGTTGCCACTGGCACGTTCTTAATAAAAGTATGAATTGATATAACAGCGAGGAGGGGAAAAAAGAACCAAATGTACAAATGGCTATAGGCAAGAAGGGCTAGCATGTATTTTCAATCATTTCTGGCATGTGGATGACATAGAACCTGGGAAGGGAAGATAACACACTATAAGCAAAAAAGGGGAAAACAATCCCAGACATGTAGAAATACAACATGTAGGACTCATGGGCTCAAACTCCTGATGAAACAGTTTGTGCTCCGACAATTATATAGCAATTTGGAAAGAATATGGAGAGATACTAAAGAGTCACAAAAATGACCAAGCCAGAAACTCAAATCCACGGATCTTGAACGGGAAAGGTGCCGGGAGAATGTGCTCTGAGTCTCTCCCAAGATGACCAGGTGCCCAGTCCCGAAGGCCTGGAGCAGAGAGAGTGGGCCTCTGCCCCAGCAGGCAGGGTGCAGACGAGCTAGCAGGGGGATCCCCAATGTCCTCCCCCTCCTCACTTGACACCCAGGAAGCTGAATACTGTGAGATGGAGATCACATCACTGCGTGGACCAGGACCACTAGCTCTGTGTACACGGCTCCAAGTTCAGCAGAGCTCTCAGCCCAACCAGCTCCCCATTTCATGCCTCAGAGCATTTATTTCCTTCTGCCTTTTTTCTCATCACCTTGTAAACCCTCTGAGGGCCTGCCTTCACTCCCGCCTCCCTCCCTGCCTCCATCCACCGCAGTCTGCTGATAACACTCTACTGAAACTGCAGCTGTGACCCTCTTCCCTGTCCCTTCCTGCCTCGATGGCCACCACGCAAGTCCCTGCTCAGAAGGCAGCACTCAAGCCTTCCTCTAGTTCCCACCACAGCTTTTACATGTGTGTGTTATACCAAGATCTGGATTGGGCATCAACTGTGTGGCCACCCTGATCCAAGAGCTTTACCCTTGCTGACATTTAGTCCTTGAGACAACCTTAGAGGAGGTCCTGTTTTCATCTCCATTTCACATAGAGGGTATCTGAGGCACTGAGATGGTAAGTGACTGTCTCAAAGCCACACAATGAGCGGGGGAACCAGGATTCTAACCCAGGCAGTGTCTCTCCAGAGACCATGTTCACGACTCTGCCACACTGTTCCTGTTACAGCATGAATCACGTGGCTAAGCTTTGGTGTCTGTCTCTCCCTACAAACTGCAGGGGAGGGAAATTCTATGCACCAGACGCCGAACAGATGTTTACCGCAGGAATGGGTAAATGAATGGGAGTGGGAGTTACTAAATATGGGAATCATTTGTGGGAAAAGCCTGAAAGAATCCCCGTTTTTGTAGCCTTGGGCAAATGACTTCACTCTCTGGAGCTTCAGTTTCCTGACCTGTAAGATGGAGATGATGATAAAACCTACTTCGTGGGGGTGCTGTTAGGATTATATGAGATGACACATGAAAAGAGCTCAGCACAGGGCCTAGGAGTGTGTGGTAAATGCTCAAAAAATGCTGGTTATTATTATTATTAGCATTCTTCCCTAGAGGTATTTAGAATGACAAGAGTCTCTTCATGCTGGAATTTTTGTGGTGTTATCATCGCTAGAAAAATGGGCTAAATTAGATGACCTGTCAAGATGCTTCTTGGCTTAAGACCCAATGGCTGTAGGGCCTCTGAGATCAGCTAACGGTGGCAGAGATGGGACTGTCAGGCTGTGCTCCGGAAAATACTAAGGACAAAGGACAACCGAAAATGATCTTTGATTTCAACGAGGGGGTAAGGAGGCGCTGTCCTTAGGGAGGACCCTTGCCAGTTTCCTCTGGCTAAAAACATGCCTTGACCTTACAATGTCAAGTACACAATGAGGAACAAATTAAATAAGCAGGCTAAATATGAATAGAATTCAAACATTCGTTTACAAATGGTCATCTCTGAGAACAAGCTTAAAACCTATTAATTCCATCTTTAACCTCTGAAACAAAACAATTAAAGGTCCGTAACTCACATTCCTCAATATAAATGAAAACTCCACGATAAGGAGCTGGTATTTTAGTTTTCATTGCAGGGCTCCTCGTCCGTGGCTGCGTGATAGGCCACAGCGGCTCCCCTCCTGACTGTGCCCCTGGAAATCAGGGCTCATTGTCTAAGCTGTTTCTACATGCATGCAAAGCAAGACCATATTTAGAAACATAGTACTTTCTCAGAGCTGTGGCTATCCAGCCATTTCAGACTTCTGTTAAAAATTAAACTTTTGGTTGAGTTGCTTTTATTCTGATGTCAAAGCTACTGTCATGAGGTTTCTTTCTTTCTTTTGTTTTTTTAAGACAATCTTTATTATGTGTTACTCTCTTTGTCCTTTCTAGTGGTATTTACTAGACTTGGGGCATTATTCTTGTCTGTGACTTCCAGAACACCTTTCTCCATTTCAACCAAATTTAATTTTGGTCCCAACAGTAGCCATCATAGGCAGAATTAGCATGTATTTGATAAACACTCATAAAGTATGCATTATTAGAAATAGTCTTAGGCATGAAAGTAATGCCATTTAGTGCCGACAAAACCAAAGGAGAATTCTGGAACCTCTTCTACATAAAGAATCACAGCAGGTCAGGTTGAGGGGCTTACCCTCTGCTACTAGGTAAGATCCAGAGGCAGGGGCAGCGAGGAGGGCCTGTGCCTCAGTGCTCCTCAAAACCCAGCCTGCACGAGGATCACCTGCAAAACTGTGGAAACACGGGCTTCCGGGTCTTTCTCCAGAGACTCTGACTCCTTAAGGCTGAGGTGCGGCTTAATCATTTGTGTTTCTAATGTGCTCCCGTGATGCTGGAGCTGCAGGGCCAGGGCCCACACAATGGGAATCACTGCTCCAGCCATCACAGAACTAGAACAGCCGCCTGGGAGCTCCAGGTCTTCTAGCCTGCTGCTCTCCCAGTCACCCAAGTGGTCACACCTAAAGGCTGTCATCAATGGAAACAGGCTCCTCCAGGAGTAGAGCCCATTCATTTCCATTATCTAAGTAATCTTGTTTATCTCCAGAAAAGCACGAGTTTTAAACCTTAGACACCAAAGCTTAACAGTCAGATCTGTGTCCTCAGATCTCTTGCTCATGAGCCCCTGAATAGAGAAGCTCCAATGGCTCACAACCACCGTTATCCAGGTCAAAGGAGCCTGTTCACACGGTGTGTGGCCTTTAGTGTTGACTGTATAAGCGGAGTCCAAAATATGAAGGCACCACACTTATGTAACTGTTCCTTTCACAGCGCCCCCCTCCCACACACACACACACTAATTTTTGACTATTCTAAAAAATATGGCAAAGAAGCTACTTGGGAATACTGGAATACTCGTGCCCACTTATGTGGGTATTTCTGTGGGAGGGTTATTAGAAAAAGAAATCCTGACTGGATCAAAGGCTAGTACATTATTTATATTATACTAGAGGCCCAGTGCACGGATTTGTGCATCAGTGGGGTACCTCGGCCTGGCCTGTGCCCCCTCGCAATCCAGGACCCCTCGGGGGATGTCGGACTGCTGGTTTCAGCCCGATCCCCGCAGGGCCTCTAGTATGCATATAAGATCTTTGGTTAATCTCTTCCAGCCCTCCCCCGTTTCTCCTCCCCTCTAAAATTCATCAGTCTGTTCCTTGTTTCCATGCCTGTGTGTTAAGCATCTGCCCCCTGGTGGTCAGTGCATGTCATAGCTACCGAACAGTCGAAGGGTCACTTAGGCTTTTATATACGTAGATTAGTGCCTTCACTTCTTACATTCCAAAGGTAGGCCTCTGAAAGAAGTCAATCCTACACCAATAATTTCACCAGGTTTGTGGTCTGATATTTCAGATTCCTTTTTTTTTTTTTTTGATATAGTTAATGTGACCTGATCAGTGTACACTGCTTATTAAGTACCACTTTCTGCTGATATATGGAAAAAAAGAAGATGTTTAAAAAGAAAGAGAAAGAGAGAAAACCTGGTTTCTGACCATAAGCCAAAGCATATTAAAATCGTATCTGTTGAGAAAGTATATGCTCTAACCCCACTGGCTTTTTAACAATTTCTAAAACCCTGAGATACCTCCCTCTGTAGGCTTTTGAACATTCTTTTCTACCTGTTTTAACGCTCCCAGCCTCTTCTGACTTTGACATAAGCATCATTTTCTCAAAGCCTCCTGATGTCTCCAGTGTATGTCAGGCTTCTAGTTACGCTCTCTCACAGAACCACACTCTTCTCTTTTAAGGAACTTACTGTATAATTATATGTTCATTAGAGTTATTGTATGATTAACAACTGCCTTCCTCACTAGCCTGTGAATTCCAAAAGTTCAGGTACTTTTGTGTCTGGTCTCATTATTTTATCTGGAGCATCTAGCTAAGTGCCTGGCTTGTAGCTGAAACTCAATTAATATATATATATAGAGAGAGAGAATATGAAAGCATTAGAATGAATGAATATGAATATATCACATTTAAAGCTTGGGTAACTTAAATATTTCTTCTTACTACAAATCTGTAGTATTTAGTCTTTATGGAAAATATAATAATAGTGTCAAAGAACAATTTGAAAGTGAAAAATTCACCCTATGCTAAGACAGCAGCTATTTTTTTCCTGTAGTTTTCTTCTAATCTTTGTCCAAATGCATATTTTTATAAAATATAATTATTCGTGACATTAAAGGACAAAAATTAGAAATAAAATTTTATGCGACAGTTCCTTCCTGTGGTAGAGTTATCATTTATAGAACAAATATACAGATAAATGTAACTTTTCAGGCTCTTCAGTAGGAAGTTAACTTGTAGGTGCATGATGTGAAGATGTGTATACTCCTACTTGGGCATCTGGCGATGGTATTACACACCTGTTTTTATAAGTTAGACGAACAGTTCTCGTACCTTCCCATTTCCCAGGCTGCTGTTCTTTGGAAGCCTGTTCCCACTTAGAAATAATGTCACAAATCTAGAAGAAAAGTGAAAAATGGAGATTTATCATACTTTTCGGACTGGCACATCTTGAAGCCACGCATGTCTGTACGCTGAAAAAAAAAACCTCCAAGGAATGTGATAAAACCAAAGTTTTTTTGTTTCAAGCTTATGTGCAGCTCTTGAGTTTAGGATTTAATTATAAATCGCTCTTTGGTCCACATCCTTTTGGACACACATTAACTTTGGACTGTGGCAATGCATTTTTCACTCAAAAAAGAATCTTAATGAAGGACTGCATGAGATTGGAAACAAGAGGATTCCAGAAATATTTTCTTGACTTAGTCACTGAAGAAGCAACTTTTCTACCTTCTGAGTTTATAAAGATTGGAATAAATGAAGTCATACCGAAGAAATCTGGAATACAATCTTAACATTCTTTGATTGGGAAAGTACAAAAATTCTTCAGGAACCAAATAAATGTTTATTTATTTAACTGACCATTTACAGAAATATAAATAAGTTTTCAAAAAGATGTGGTAAGCAGTTATTCAACAAAGCCCCTGATATTTACTTAGCTCAAGTCAGCAAAGAATACTAGCTTGCTTCTTGACTAATTTATTTATTTATTTTTAAAATATATTTTATTGATTTTTTACAGAGAGGAAGGGAGAGGGATAGAGAGTTAGAAACATCGATGAGAGAGAAACATCGATCAGCTGCCTCCTGCACACTCCCCACTGGGGATGTGCCCGAAACCAAGGTACATGCCCTTGACCAGAATCGAACCTGGGACCCTTGAGTCCACAGGCCGATGCTCTATCCACTGAGTCAAACCAGTTAGGGCTTGACTAATTTATTAACAATAGTGTTCTAGGAATGACTGTCTCAAAATTTACATTTGGATTTATTGAACTGAACAGGATATAGTTGGGGCTGAGGAGAAATAAGACATTCATTTACCTAGAGTTCTCAATATGCAGTAGGAATATAGGCAAAGGGATGAAGGGGAAACCGTATCTATTAACCAACATGCCTACTGGACTAAGTATAAACAGTAACAGTATTTTGTAGAAGCCTAGAGTACCGACAAGCTGTTTTGCAAGTGGAACAGGCTTTGTGAGTTACTGATGTTGCATACACTCTAAACTTGTGAGCTATTATTTATAAATCTAGTTCTTCCCCTACTCTGCCCCAATTCTGTCATCTCCAAATCCCAGAAAACCTTCACCCCATAACAAGGCACTTTTCCCAACAGCAATCAAAGACCATATAAAGTAAGGAAAAGGTCCAGACGCAGCTCTAGCTGTTTGATTTGGGGTAAATCATTTCCCCCTCTGGGCCTCAGTTTCCTCATTGGCCAATTTTTGTTTCTCTCAAGTTCCTTCCGGTTGTGTAATTCTGTATTTCTAATTGTTGCCATAACTAGAAACTTTATTAAAGTTATTTTACTAAGACCCAGAAAAGACTGTTTAAAAGTCTCCCAATTCTGTCTTTGCTCATGATTTTCATGATTTTCCTTAAGTCTGGAATCCCTTCTTTATTCCCACAGGTCCATTTTCTACCCCTCCTTCAAAGCCCAGTTCAGATCTTCCCTCATTTCCAATGCTGAGCTTAACCTCTCCGCTCAGTGGAATGCTCACAGCACTCTTAAAACACTGATCACTTCCGACTCCAAAGTTACAGTGTATAAGGCTGCTCTTCTCCAAGCAAATGATAAGTGTGCTTGGGCAGGGACTATTTCTGATCCTTCTTTGTATTCCCACAGGATCCTGTCCAGCTCCTGGGACACAATAAATATTGCTGAGTAGATGAATCAAATGGAAAGCCATTTGATTAGAGTTTCCACACTTCCACCCATATTACCCTAATACGTAGGGTACTATTACTATTATTAATCCTTTCCCTCTATTTAACATGTGTGTGTGTGTGTGTGTGTGTGCAGATTGCATATTAAGAATTCTACGGCTTCAACAAAAGTCCTGCAAATTTGTTTTATTGTGAAGATTAGATTGCTTAAATATTTTTGAAAACTCCTGAATTAAACTTGTTGCAAATAGCAAATAATAGCTTCTTTGTCGCTTGCTGGGTGTGCCTCCTTAAAGGGACTTGGTTTTACCTTGATGTTTCCTTGAAGACAATGCTCTAAATCCCTGCCAGAAGGATCATCGGTGAACAGGGCAAATCCAGACTGGGCTGGCTTCCTCATTCCCGTATCCTGGTTCAAAGTGTTCAGAAATTCTTCCACTGTGGTGGACGCATCAAATCCAACGACCTAAACAGAAATAACAAAGTCGTTCTCCGAATGAAAAAGTATGTACATTTCAAACTTAGATTTCAGGGGGAAACAGGACATACTTGATGCACGATTAATGGTGGCATACATATATATATGTATATATCTGGGTGCTTTAACTCCCTCTCCCCCCAAAGCACCACTGGAGAAATTAATGCTGTCTTAGTCATTAGCTTGCTGTGAGAATTCAGAAATCTTGGCTTCAGCCAACTGAATTAAAAAGAGGCAGATCATTTGACAGCTGTAAACATTTTGCAGTGATATTAGGCCTACCCATTAAAAGCAAACCAAGAACGACAGTGCACTATGTAATCTTCAAGCAAATGAAAAAAAATAAACAAGAAATGTACTTAAAACAAATGAACTTTTATGCATTTAATGTTTGTTTCTTTAATATGCAGCTAAGTATCTGAATCCTGTGATAAAAGGCGTATGGCTGCAAAGACTAATTGCTAGCTTTGGAACATGTTTGCTTCACTTAATAAGCGAACATCCAGATCTGAGAGTTGGGAGGGCCCACATAAGCTTTCCCAGATAATTCCTGAGATTTGGAGACTTTCGCAGTGGTTCTCAACCTTCCTAATGCCGCGGCCCTTTAATACAGTTCCTCATGTTGTGGTGACCCCAACCATAAAATTATTTTCGTTGCTACTTCATAACTGTAATTTTGCTACTGTTATGAATCGTAATGTAAATATCGGATATGCAGGATGTATTTTCAGGGGTCGCGACCCACAGGTTGAGAACCGCTGCTTTAAAGCGACTGAACCTGTACACACCCAATGTTAGTAATTATTTCCTCACCTAGCAGGCGCACTGGTGACCTCAACCAAAGTAGTTTTGTTTTTTCGTGTGAATCTTTTTATTTAGCAAAGCTGTTTAAAAATGCAGCAGTTCTGATAGAAGATCTAATTTATTTGCGAGTTTATCACTGCCAGCTGCTGACAAAGGTAGGTGTACAGTCTCATTTCTCTGTTGTCCAGAGGTCACACACAGGACTTCAGGCTCAGCATGTTTTCTTCAGGGTAGAAAGTCTAACTCACCTGATAGATGCCATTCATGAAGTGCACAGGGATACTGAAGGGCAAAGAGTGATGATAAGGATTTCGAAGAAGGGTCGAAAGGATTTCCATTCTTGAGGGTCTGGCTTCCCGATCTCCATTTTGTTGTGTTCTTTCTACACATCGCTGGCAGTAAATGGCATATTTTCCAAATTCTGTCCTATAACACAAAACTTAAGATAAAGCCTAAGAATAAATTTAATTAAGACAACCTAATAGCTATGAAGTCATTAAGAAAGCTTTCCTTGGTGTATATTGTTACAATGTATTATGCTAATGTTGACAGTAATGTTTCTTTTAGCATGATATTATTAAGCCTCTAAACTTTCCCATTCTTTGGGCGATTTGTCACTGATCGCAACTCAAGTCACACGATCTCGATTACAGAGTCCCCAAAACGTATTATTAACTGGAGAATATTTTTCTGCTGCTTCCAAGTTGTTTTTTTGTCTCATTGTGCTTGTTTGTTTGTTTATCTGAGTTTCAGGGCTTATTTAAGCAACCTGGCATCAACTTCTTGGACAAAATGATCCTGATAAGCCTTGGCTGGCTGCCTTGGGTCCCAATGTAAAAAGCCATTGTGACAGCTGGATTGTAAATGTCTTTTTTCCAGGAAACAAAAATTCCGAAGTAATTCAAGTACACACGGGGAAAACCATCAGGGGCATTTTCCACATAAAACAATTCAATGTGGAGAAAAACAGTAATAGGGAAAACTAAGGAAGCAAAGTAGTTGCTGTTATAACGATAACAAATGCTAAGTCATTCATCCTTGAAATACACACAGACTTTTCACTTAAAAATAGTCTTTATCAGGTTTCAAGCGCTCACTGCAATCTTCCATGAGAGATTCAACATAGTAAAGGAAATATTTCTCAAGCTCCACGTAAATGGTAACCAAAGGTTCTCTGTACCAACATTTGTTTCACACATTCTCTACCTGGCAGGTTACTAAATACTTAGGATTTGTTATAAACTTTCAGAGGCCATAGAAACGGTTCAGCTGGCTAGTTTTCTGCACACCTGGAATCTGCATTCCTCTTAAGGTGGAGCCTGAGAAGCCACAGGAAAGGATGATGGGGAAGGAAGAGCCCAACACAGAGCGCCAAGAGCTGCCAGGCCTGGCAAAGAGAAACAGCGTTAGGTTAGACGCCCCGTGGCAGTCCCAGATCCAAGTCAGAACCAGTCTGACCGACAGAAGTTGATAGTCTTCCTTCCTTCTTCTTTTTTTGGTTTTTCAAGGTTTTCTTTAGTTTGGTAGTTTGTAGCCTTTCTTGACCCCAAATGTGTTTGCTTCTTCCACATATAGATTATCTTCTCAGAGCAATTATAAACCATAAAAAACATTGAAAAGGCCACATTGGGTCAGATCCATAATCTATCTAGTTATGTATATAGTTGTCTACAACTGAGATACCAAAAGACATGTAGATATATAATGACATCAAAGATTAGGAACATTGCTCCTTTTTTGTTCATTTATGTATTTACTCATTAGTGGAAATAGAAGCAATGGCTTTGAGAAAGGACAGATTGAAAAATAGTAAAAAATCATATACCCCAAAACCAAACCAAAATACCCACACATACTTACACATATACATACATATATAAGGGACAAAATAGAAATAACAGAGATTAGGTAATATGGATTATGTGTGACTTTTCCTTTTCCTTTGCTCTGTTCTGTATTATTTTATTTTTTTCCATTAAGCAAGTGTAGCTTCAATACTTTTTAAACTGTTATATTAAAAAGCAGGAGGAGACCTGTACACAATTCACTGGACTTGTACACAAGAATTAGGTTCAAAGATGTATACTGCACAGGTATTTATTATAAGAAAAAGAATTGGAAAAACCTACATGGATAGTAATTGATATTAATGCAATCATTAATGTTTTGAAGAATGTTGCAGAATATAGGGGGAAAATGATTATGTTCTATAGTTTTAAAAAATTAGTATGCACACTGTAACCCTAGTAACGTGAAAAATGCGAGAGCATATAAACACATACACATACATTTCTACAGAAACATGTAAATAAACTGAAAGGATATACATCAAAACATGAATAGCTATTTTCCCTTTTCACACTTTTTGTATTTTCCAATGTCTACACTGAATATGCATCATTCTTACAATCAAGACAGCAACCTCATTTTAAATTGCGTGTATGTGTATCACTATATACCTGCAATGGTCCTGGTTGGCTCTGTGGCTGTCTCCGTCTTGTCTGTTTAATGAGCTGACAGCAAATTTCATTCTGTAGCTCAGGATGTGTCAGGCAGATCTGCAAAGCACTCTGGGCTAGCGATACGTGGTAATCAATTGCAGGGGAGTCAACTGCGGCATTGATAAAAAGCTGGCAGGTCTGGATTAAGAAAAAGGTACAGTCAAGGTGAGGAATGATTCGATATTCTGTGTGAATTATGTTGATTCTCTTCTTAACAATAGTTTTTTCCCCAAATGGATGGAAAAGATATATTATGGTAACACTAATCAAAAGCAATCCAGAGTGGCTACATTAATAGCCGACAAAGTGTATTTCAGAGCCAGGAATTCTGCCAGAGATAAAGAGGGTCACTTTATAATAATAAAGAAGCCAGTTCATCTAGAAGACATAACAATTTTAAATGATTATGTGCTTAATAAAATATATGAAGCAAAAACTGATAGGACCGTAAGGAGAAATAGACAAATGCACAATTATAGTTGGAGATTCCAAATACTCCTCTCTCAATAATTGAGAAAACAAGCAGATGGAAAATCAGTAAGGATTTAGAAAACTTGAACAATACTATCAACCAACTTGACTTAATTGACACTTACAGAACACTCCATCTAAGAGCAGAATATGCATTCATTTTAAGGGTATACAGAACATTAATCATCTCCTGTCCCCTATAAGCTTCATAAGGACAGAAACTGCCTTATTTATCTTTTTTATTCTCTACACAGCATAGAGTGACAAAGCAAAGGTTTAATGAATGAATGGATTTAAAATCTGATTAAATAAACATAGTATCTATTAAGAAACATTAAAGTGTTCATAAACACCAATGGATGGTTTTAATATTGTGTCATTATACGGTAGGTAGTCGTTATCTCTTCTAAGAACAGATATGATCAAATAAATTTAGCCTCTAACCAAAAGCATTGCTGCCAAAGAACTTCATCATAAAATGATCAATGAAAAAAGATTTCCACCATTAACTTTTATCATGTTCAGAAAGTATCACTATTTTATGAACGTTAAACTTGTCAAATGCGTTTTTAGCATTTATAGAGATGATTGTCTACTTAATAATAAATAATATTAGTAGACATCTAATATATAGACATTCTTGATTTCCTGTAACAAATCTCTTTTAGACATGATAGAGTATTCTTGTAATATGATGCTGGATTCTGTTTATTAATATTTTACTAGTTTTTGCACGAAATGCTCTGTTTTGTACAATTGTTTCTGGGGTTTGGTTCCAAGTAATACTTCACAAAGAGAATCTGGTGATATGACCATTGAGAACTGCTTCAAATATTCCAATGTTGGGAAGCAGTGGGGATGGGGAGACTAAAACAAAACTGGCCATGTGTTGATGCTATGGAACTGAGTGATGAGTACCTTGGACCTCATATTTTCTCTACTCATATGTTTGAAATTTTCCAAAATAAAGAGTAAAAAAAAACACACACACACCAGAATTTGGGAAATTTCCTTCTTTTTCTATGAACTGAAATTACCTACACTTTAAAAGTTTGGTGCCGAAACCGGTTTGGCTCAGTGGATAGAGCGTCGGCCTGCGGACTGAAAGGTCCCAGGTTCGATTCCGGTCAAGGGCATGTACCTGGGTTGCGGGCACATCCCCAGTGGGAGATGTGCAGGAGGCAGCTGATCGATGTTTCTCTCTCATCGATGTTTCTAACTCTCTATCTCTCTCCCTTCCTCTCTGTAAAAAATCAATAAAATATATTTAAAAAAAAAAAAGTTTGGTAAATTTTCCTGTTTAAATTTTCATTCTCATGTGGATTTAGTTTTGGCCATTTATATTTTATTATAAAGTCGATCACTTCATTCAGATTTTCAAATATATTTGTGTAGAGTCTTTCTTGTTTTCAGTAGTTGTGTATTCTATGGGTGGGTTTTAAAAAATGTTCCATTATGGTAATATTAAAACATAAACAAAAGTAGAGAGAATAGTATAATGATTACTCATGCACTCATCACCAAGCAACAACAATTATTAGCATTTTGCTAAACTTGTTTCATTCAACCTCCACTCTACTTTTTTTCCTGGAAAATATATATATATATATATCATGATTTTTACCAATAAATACTTCAGTATGGATGTACAATTGATAAATTTTCCCCCATAACCACCATGTTATATCATACCCCCCCAAACTAACAATAATTCTTTGATATTATCTAATAAGCAGATGACTTTATTGAGATGGGAGGAATGTAGGCAAGAAGAAGCCAAAAGAAACACAAAAACTGAGACTCTAAGAGACTAAGGGAGAATGAAGTACCAACCTCCTAGTGTAGAGTTGAGATCTGAATCCATAGAAGTTATACTATATTTGGAAACTGGAGGAATGAAGGAGAAAGTAGATAAATAATGTCTGCTGGGGAAAGATATTTGAGGTGTTCATGACCGATGCCATCTAATTTTCTTAATAAATAGAAGGTAAGTTTGTTGTGAGGAACATTTATTATTGATGGGGAAGTTTGAGGGCGAATGTGACCAAAGACAAGCAGAAGGAGAGATAGTCGGCCATGAGGAATGCATACCCCAGGTTTATATTGGCTCCAGTCCACTGGGGTGTTTAATGTTCTCTAGCAGTGCACATGTGATTAACATGGCAGCAGACAAGAAAGCAGCACTGATCTAGGTTGGGGTTTAGCTGGAAAGTTCATGGAATTATGGGTCCCTAGGAACTATGAGTATTAATGAAAGTAATCTAGGCTGGAATAAGAAGGAAGAACAGCCAAGAGGAAGTTCTCATGCTCTCTCTTGATCTCCAAGAAAATAAATGGCTCCAAACAAAGATCTTAGTAAGGAATGAAAAATGGAAGAGTAAGAAAATAAGAGAGCTCACAGGCTAAGAGAATATGGTTAAAGAAAGAGATATTAGAATTTAAACTTTTAGAGGTGGTGTACTTGTAAGGAACGGAGAGGTCAGGGTGTGGACGTGGAGAACGGGAAGGTGAAATAGACTAGAGGTGAAGCTTACTGGCATTAAGAAGGTCAGGAATCTTAGAGCATTTCATTGGTGCATCAAGTAATAATGAGGTCATTCAGCATAATGGCAAGATCTGAGGCAGAAAGAGTGTGAGTTGAGAGCCAAAATCCTTAATGAAATTTGAAAAGTTAGCAGAAGCTGATTAATGACAGAGATGGGATAAGAGTGATATAGTTGAGTGACAAGTTTCAAGTGCTCAGGGGTTTCTAACAGAAGCTGAATGGTAAGAATTGGAGAGTAGCACTGGAGAAGACGGGTGCTGACCCTCTCCCAACACCGGTTAGGTGTGATGTGAGAAATCCCTCCACTGGAGCGGTGAATGGGACATGATTCTTTTGAGATTACGTGTTTCCCATTGCCCAAACCACACACAGTTTATTTCAATAAATCCCAGATTCTCACTTGGAAAGCATATTAAATTCACCTCATTTTATTTCAGTAGACTTTCTTAGTAACAATAACCACATTTTGAATTTTCTTGGGAAAAGTGAAACTTTATATACCTAAATTTTTTATTTTTTCAAATTAAAATGTTAATAACATATAACGCCATATGAATTTTTACCTTAAATAATTTAATAGCCTCTGTCTGTAGAGCTTCAGAAGGCAGTGTTGTCAGAGGGGAAACAATTCCTTCCTTGCTGTGACACAAAGTAGGATGTCTCCATATCTGAGAGGCTAAATGCAGGGTAAAATACAGTTAGAAAACAGAAAGAATCACTTACTTTGGCCTCCCATTTATTAGCCCTTTATAGAAATTAGCTAACGTGGCCTGGCTCACTACTTTAAGTCATAAAGGTCATGAAAAAAGCTTTGGCAACATTATTTCATTTCATTTTCCTGGCCATGGGGGATTCTCGTGTCTCTGTTTTGGAGAAATTAAATCTAGAAGACTTTGGTCTTAATATTCTTGGCTGAAACAAGTCTACCAGGGCACTATGATGTTGCTCAGATGTGCTAAAGATTGGGGACCCAGGTGGGGAGATGATTATACATGAGAAGGAGCTGCAGAAAGATCTAGAAAGGAGAAACCAAGTAGGAGGAGATAGAATGATAAAGAAGAACTTGAAGTCATTCTTAACATCAACATTTATTAAATCCCTGTGCTGGGTACTCAGAATAAAATGTGATCTCTGCAATTAAGTAAAGCATAACACAGAGTCTAGACTCTCAATGGGGAAACCTGAGCCATAAAAAATAATTTCAATGCAAAGGAACAAATGCTATGAAGTAGTTAAAAGGCAAAGTGCACTGGAACGTAATTTTAACACTTATTAAGAACCTTTTATGAGCCAGATGCTGAGCTGGAGTGGGCTGGTGTGGGGGGAGCTTCTGAGGTAGGCAGGATTTTATCAGGTTGGTGAGGAATGTGAGGAAGGGGGGCATTTCAGGCAGAGGGGGTATTGTCAGCAAAGGCAGAGGTGTCACAGGACATGGAATTTGGGGGAATGATGGTGTCCCTGGAGTCTAGGAACCACAGTGAGAATCCTGGCGCATGACAAGCAAAGCCAGTGAAACGGTGGGTAGCTTGCAGGGAAAGGAACTTACAAAGTAAAACTCCATTAGGCTAAGGGGGTTTGGGTGCATTTCATAAACCATAGAGCCTTATATGTTATGAACTTACAAGGTTCCCCTTCAATATTTAGCAATTTACAAACGAGTTGTTCAAATTCAGATCCAACATTTACAGTGTTACTTCCAGCTGCAACGGTCAGGTGATAAAGCCAAGTGTCCTTAAAAAGGAAACATATTAATAGAAATGTTAACCAGTATATAATTTTTGGCGATTTAAGGAAAAAAAACCACAACTTGCATAAACAATGGAAAACTTCACTAAAAAAACAAAACCTCTTTAATTTTTAAATAATAATTAAAAGCAAGCCACGTATTCAAACAGTTCTGAAGTAGGGTCACTTGAATTGTGCTCATAGTACTTTTCCCACTGTTCTATAGATGTTGCTTAGAAAAACATGATAAAATTAAAGTAATATAATGTTAAGAGACTAGAATAAATACAACCAGTTAATATTCCTTTAAGAAATACAATAAATTCTACCACATTTAAAATCTGACTCCCAATGCATACAAATAACACATACAAAATACTTAGGAAATCCAGAAAATTTTAAAAAGAAAATAATACCGAGAACAAACTTACCTCAATACAATAAGGGCCATATAAGAAAAGCCCACATAATATCATACTCAATGGTGAAAAAATGGAAAGCTTTTCCTCTAAGACCTGGAACAAGGCAAAGATGCCTGTTCTTGCCACTTCTGTTCCAATTTTATGTAGTCAAGTCTATCACCCATTTCTACTGTGTTTCTTACATTGCCCTTTTTTCTTTTTTAGAAAGTACTTTCTATTCCAAGATCAGATAAAGGCTCTTTTAAAAAGCCATATAAGAAAAACCCACATAGCTCAGTGGATAGAGCATCGGCGGAAAGCTTTTTCTCTAAGACCTGGAACAAGGCAAAGATGCCTGTTCTTGCCACTTCTGTTCCAGTGGGAGGCGTGCAGGAGGCAGCTGACCGATCTCTCTCATTGATGTTTCTAGCTCTCTATCCCTCTCCCTTCTTCTCTGTAAAAAAATCAATAAAATATATTTTTAAAAAATTGTTTCATTTAACTCTTTAAATTATTTTGCTATTACGTGTGAGATGACAAACTAAACTAATGTTTTCCTAGATAGCCAATTTCCTCAATATATAATGAACACAAAATATTATATATTGAATAATCCATTACTTCCCCATTCATTGTGATGCCTCTTTTATTTTTTTATTATATTAACTTTTATATTTTCATATGTGACTACATATATAATAATTTTATCTAAACCAAAATTTTGTTGAAAATGAGTCAAAATTATAAGGTTGGAGGCCTTAAGATTCACCCCCCAAAAAATCCAGTCTGAGACATTCACATTTTGAACATAATGTTCCTTTATCCTACACCTGCACTAATTTCAACTGGAGAGCACTTTTATCAATATGATTGAAAAATGACACATTTAAACAAGGCTTGTTTCCAGGGATGTAAAGAATCTCTGTAAATAGAGCTGAAAGTCTTTAGCAATGTTTTCTTCCTTGTTTCCATGAAAATGATTTGAAAAATCATTAGCAGTAGTTAATAACATTAATCTACATCATTCCAAATCAGCCATTAAGTCCTTACATACCTTTTCATGCTTGGACCCAATCAGGAGGTAAGTGGGACCTTGGTCCTTGGGGTGGATCACGATGGTGTAATGTGTGGATAACAGACTTCGCCCACTGGCTTCATAATCTTCATCTGAATCACAGGATCTGTCAACCTCTTCAACTTTAGCCTCCCAGAGTTTGATCTGACCTAAAGGCAACTAAAGTAAATATTAGTAATTGTGAGGAAGGCACTTTCTAAATCTTTTCCTAGTAAAATTTTTCATATTCCTTTTCATTCTTACCTTTATAAAGCATACCTTTTCTTAAATGAATGCCTAAAGGCAATTGGATTATCCGTAGTTATGAAAGTAGCAGTCACCACCAAAATACCCAATTGCAATATGAAAGAACAATTTGAATACTAGGCATTTACCTTTTGTGGAAAAAGCAAGAAGCTACTTTACTTAGTCAAGCAATTATGTAACTCAGTCAAAACATTCACTTGACTCCCCCTCCCCCCCACAAATTGATTCGATTAAGATACTGGATCAAAAGGACAAGAGTGGACATAGTCTCAATAGAAAAAGTAACACAATTAGGTAGCTGGTACAAAGAAGTGTGATTAACATTTTAAACTGCAATAAAATGAGTAGTGTTCTGAGAGGTTATTTACTAGTATTAATAGACATAATATAATACAAAACAATGCTATGATTTCTTAATTTAAAGGTAAGAAAGCTTCTTAAAACTGATGCATATTACATTTTACCTACTCTTTCGTTGACAAAAACAACTATATCTGTTGTGTTGAATATCCAGCATTTTTGTTCTAAAACTTTTGCTTTAATTAAGTACATTTATTCCAGCAAAATACAGTCTGCTTCTGATTTGCAGCTTCTAAAATGTCTGATCAGGTTTGCAACTGCAATCTGAAAATATTCATTCTGACTCCCAGAAGAACATTTACCATCGTACACGTTCATGCTCAGCCCGGGGCTCAGTGCTCGGACCCTTTTCCATCCACATTCACATGGGTGATCTCATCCACACTCATGGCTTTAGTACCAGCATATATTAGCTACCCCTGCATTTATAACGCCAGACTCGCTAGTTGTACTTAGACGTCTAAGAGTATCTCAAACTTACTTTGGTAAGTCCTCTCCCACAACCTGCCCTGGGTAGTGTCTCCCATCTCACTGTTGGTAACTTCATCTTTCCAGCTGCTTACGCCAAAAACCTTGGCATCGTTCCTGACTCTATTCTTTCTCTTCTATCCCATACCTTTTCAGTGAACAATTCCAGTCAGCAAGCTTTTCAGAATATATTCAGAGTCTGGTCACTTCTCACACCTCCACTGCCACCAGTTAACCACAGTCATCCTTCACCTGGATTACTGTAATAGCCCCCTAACTAGTCTCCTCCTTATTCCCTCAGACAGCTACCAGAGTGTTCCATTAGTCACAAGATAGATCATGTCAATGTTCTGATAAAAAAATTCCAATGGCCTCTCATCTTACTTGGAGTAAAAGCCAAAGTCCTTACTATGAACGGCCCCCTGGGATTTGATCCCTGTGACATCTCAGATCTCATCTTTTACTATTCATTTCAGAGCAAGGAAGGGAGAGAGACAGAAACATCAATGATGATGTCATACCTGGAATACACAGAGTGGCTTCTATTTTCCTGACTTAAAATTTAGTTGGGATTATACTGAATATATCATTTTGTATTGTGCTTATTCACGTAGCATTTATGTGAGCATTTCCTACTTTACTTCAGAAGTATCATGTTTAATGGCTGCACTGTATTAATTCCCATCTATGAACAACACTGGAAATAATGGCATGCATTTTAAACACAGTTACTCTGAACGGAGAGCGCAATCTGTGAAAATGGAACAGAGAAAAACCAACTGACCCATGTGGTCACTGGACCAAGAAGTTCAGTCTCATTAACACAGTAATTGGTCACAAGACGCTGTTCTGTGCCACTGGCATCTTTATTTTATGTGAGCTTTCTTGGCCCATGTTGGTTCAGTTTTTATAGCTTCAGTAAGCCAGAGGTGACATGGAGTAGATATCCTATATTTTTACTCAGAAAGTGAATATAACTCAAGTTCTTTTTGGAAGGAGATTGGTTAAAAATGAATACACAGGACATAAATAGGTAGATGAATGGGTAGGTAAATGGTACGGAGGGATTCGAGGGCCTGGGACAGGGCTGGATTCTTTTTCCTCCCTGCTCTTCTTCCCTAGTTTGTTGTTCCCTTCACTCAATCTTATTTAGTCTGTCAGACCTCGACAGTACAAGAAATCGATGGTTGGGAGTGAGGTAGAGAAAGGCTTTTCTCTTCTAAGAAAAAGATGCATTAATTAAAAGTTGCAAAAACGTATAGTTAAGAATCAAGACCCTTGTAGGTATATAATTACCTCAATAATAAATTTTATGCAAAATTTCAACCTTATCAAAAAAGTCTAAACTTTTAGCCAGTGACCGAAGAGTAATAGAAAAAACTTAAGACATAACAAACAAAACATTCCTCTAATTAGCATATTAAAAATACATACATACCTTATCTTCTTGACTGCGAAAATAATATAACGTTTTTCCTACTAGTGTACACCAGACTCTCTTGGAGTAGCCATGCTTCACCTGAAATCATATTCCAGAGAATTATGAATGTAGCCAGCTCAGAACTCTAACACCTTAAAGGAAAGTATGGCATACACACTCTATTTGAAGCTGTATAGGTATCCAGTTTGCTTAAAGTGTAAGTGATATTCCAACTAGACTGTCAAAAGCGGTTTAAAATTTACCTGTAGCGGCGTGACATGTTTTGCTTTGGTGCTCAGCATTCAACACTTAACAAATGTTTACTGTATGTCAAGAACTGTGCCTGGGATTGAGGATTCAAAGATGGATAAAACAAGACACTGGTTTCAAAAGTAAGTATATTGCATAGTTTCCATATTTCATAGATGTCCAGTAACCCCATAGCTCTCTAGGTTCACACCCTAGGTTAGAAATGTGTCTGAGACTGAGCAAGTGAGGACAGAGGTCACGGGGAAGGGTAGGGAGGAAGGGTAGGAGGTGAGGGTGGGGGGTTGGGTATATATATTTTGCAGGACCTTTGCAATGACTTACATTTAAATGGACTGTTCTGATAGTAACTCATTGGGAAGGATATAAATTATTGACACAATAGATTTTTACAGTAGGCCAGTCACTACAGTGAAAAGGCCTGAATTTTGAGGTCAAATGGACCAAGGCTTAAAGTCCAGTTCTACCGCATGCCAGATGGTGTCCTCAGGCGACTGACTCTTGGCTTCTGTGGGTAACATGGGATTACTGGACACCTCATTGGGCCGTCGTGATGACCAGAGGAGAAAATGTCAACAAAGCAGAATAGTAGTTACTCAATAAATGCTTCCTTCCTCCCTATGCATAAGAAGCAAAACACATGTTTCATTTAAACCCACAAGCAGCCAGCCTCTGGGCTTTCAAAGTTACGGTTTAAGCAAACAACTCCGCCATCTCACAGTTTGAAGGATTTAAAATGCTGCTTGAGGAAAAACAAAAAATGTTTCATTTGGCAAGACATGTTTCAGTTTAATTAAATTTAGAAACATATATTTGCAGACAAATATCCTGGAAGTTTTAAATGGTTTGTGTTATGCAGGGTTTTTTTTTTTCTTTTTCTTCTTCTTCTTTTAAAAAAAATCCAAAAAAAGGAGACTCATCAAAACTGGAGTATAATGCATCAGGCTGAGAGAGTATCCTTTTGAAGTGATATATCTTTAAAACAGAACAATGGGTACTATCGAAGAACTACAAATTAATGAAGGCCTTTGCCAATTCACTGTAAAAGCTGTTTAAAGCCACCGTCTATCTTTATATGTAGATCGAATAATATTAGTTTACCTTAAAACTCTGACTTACTCTGAAAAACTCATAAAGCAAATTACACTAGGAGAATCCTCATGAAAATGGAAAGGCAATCTCAAACCTCAGGGCTTTGGGGAAACGAAATAATTGAAAGAATCATTTTTCAGTGTACCTTGCATCCATAACAAAGATACTTCCTATCAGTTCTGCTTGAAACTTTGAAGACAAACAGTGAATCCTATCCTGGTGAGCCTTTGTCACCACTCACATAAGCTCCCCTGGTCTTCTCTCTTCTCCTGTATTCTCATACCTGTAGCCTTGTCCACTACAAATCCTGACGCCAGCCTTGCTGACTTCAGTATCTAGGTGAAGCTCTTGTGATAGTAAGAGTGGTGTAAGGAGAGAGGGAAGTGGAGGGAGGTGGCACATATAAACAGTTTATATGTGCCAGTCACTGTTCTAAAGAACGTTACCTGCTTAAATAATTCATTTAATCCTTCCTCCAACACCCTGTGAGGTTGGCATTATTATCCCCACTTTACAAATGAGGATGCGAAGGCACAGAGCCTGTAAGTAATTCATTCACGGTCACACAGTGGCAAGTGTCAGAGCCAGGATTTATGCCCATATTCTTGCCTTAGCCCCTGCTACACCGCCTCTATATCCTTAACCCACAGTTCCTTGCTCTCTTCATCTGCTATCCCTCCATTTTCACCATCCATCCCCTCAGCCAACCTAGTGCACTCTGCTTCTGAAATTTACACTCTACCCTCTGATCTCAACCTCCCTCCACCTCCCTCTCTCCTTACTCACACCACTCCAATTCTTTGACTTCATTCAAAACCGAGCCCCCTAACCCTCCCATTTTAGTCCAGTTTACCAGTCCCCCCTGCTTCTTTCTCCACCAACCTTGAATCCTGTGTTTGGTCATAAAATAGCTCCTGCACCAAGACCTGGGATTACACTGTATTCCTATGGCTCTGACAAATCCACCCAACAAAATTTTTCTCCATTTGCTTTTTTAAAAATATATTTTTTATTGATTTCAGAGAGGGAGAGAGAGATAGAAACATCAATGATGAGGGAGAATCATTGATGGCTGCCTTCTGCACACCCCACACTGGGGATCCAGCCCACAACCCAGGCATGTGCCCTGAACGGGAATCAAACCATTACCTCCTGGTTTATAGGTTGACGCTCAACCATTGAGCCATGCTGGCTGGGCTATTTTTTAAAAAATAAATGAATTATTATGTAAAAAAAATTCATCCTAAGCAGTAAAAGAAAAGTTGCAGGAGTAGAATATCCAGAATCAAATCAGTCAAGCTCTTAATATTTACCCACATATTTCTGTACTTAATAGCAATGTGACAACTTGGAAAACCCTGTTCCCCTCTAAGGTACTCAAAGCTGCTCCACAGCATCTCAAACTGTAGCCTGAATGTGAGCTCAGAACAAGTCACTAAGAATAGCTGAGGGATGGTTTTCTGTTACAAGGTTCTGAGGGTAAAAATATGGGGGTGCACAAGGATTCATAACTAAGTAGGAAGAAAACCTACTTAGCATCCTGTCTATGAACCATAATGGTTTGGTCATCAGCTAATCACATCACCTTTTACTTATTTAAAATGCAATTGTGAAATGGGAAGCAGAGAACAGCAGAAATGTAATATGAGCAAAAATTAATCAACCATGTTGATAAATTAATAAGCCATGCTGATTAAAACAGACAAACAAAAAACACAAACTAATTTTGGGGTAAGTAACAAATCCTTGGCCATGGAATCATATTAAACTCTAAGGGCTTGCTATACATGGTCCTTGATAAAGGAGGACATCCAGCCATTATGAATTAAAATAAGAATGCGATTTAAAGTAGCACTGTGTTCGCTGGAAGATATACACTGAGTGGCCAGATTATTATGACCACCTCATCAGTACTTCATTGACACTTCCAAAAATACTGAATATTGAAAACTTCCTAAGCAAATACTCTCAAGGTTTTATTATTATTATTTAAATAACTAATTCACTTCATTGTACTGATGAGGTGGTCATAATAATCTGGCCACTCAGTGTATATTTTCACAGTACCAGAGAATTTTCTAACCCATCAGTAATTGAAAAAGCATTTTTATGGTAATGTAATAATTGAAAACAAAACACACAGGTCATTCATTTCTTGGTTGAATGTATTGATTTTTTTCTGTTACTTTTGGAATAGCTGGTCAGTCTTTGTAAATATTACTGAATAACACCCACCTACATTCCCATATTAATATTAAATATAGATTACACAGTGGCATAGCTCATCACAACATCTAAATTTTTCACCTCTTACATAAACAAAGCACATGGATAATGAATGGTTGTAGAGATTATTTTTGGTATAATATTTTGTGTGTAAAAATTTTTATTATATTTCTCTAAAAGGGATAGTAAATATCTGTCAAAACCAATTGAAATTTTAAAAATTAAATAATATTTTTAGCATAAATCAATACTGACTCATTAAAAAGTTAGAAAACAGAACTAAGTAAAAATAAAATAAAATCACGTATTCAACATACATTGGTACACTTCCCATGCAGCATTGGTGGAAAGCACAGCTGCCTTCTTTTCTATGAATGTGTTTAACAAAAGTTGTGCTTTAAAGCATTATACACATTCTGAGTGAATATAATTCTGCACTCTACTTGTTTAATCACCCAACACATCATATTTCTGTAACATCAAATATTCTTAACAATTAAAATGACTACAGAGTAAAGCATTATCTGATTAAATACATATTTATTTAAGCTACCCCCTACTCTGCATCTATGTTGATCCCAAGTTTTCTTTTCTTTTTTCTTTTTTTAAAAAATATTTTATTGATTTTTTACAGAGAGGAAGGGAGAGGAATAGAGAGTTAGAAACATCGATGAGAGAGAAACATCGATCAGCTGCCTCCTGCACACCCCCTACTGGGGATATGCCCGCAAACAAGGTACATGCCCTTGACCGGAATCGAACCTGGGACCCTTCAGTCTGCAGGCCGACGCTCTATCCACTGAGCCAAACCGGTTAGGGCATCCCAAGTTTTCTTTAATATAAACTATGCCATGCAAGTAATCTTTCTGGGGTAATGGAAATGTTCTATCTATATCTTGATAGAGTGACAGTAAACATCTGTCAAAACTCATCAAACTCTACAATTAAGAACTGCATTGCAGTATATGCTAATTATATCTCTTTCTTTTTAATAGAGAACATCTATCTGTGATGAACATCCTTATACTCAAATCTTTTACAAATTAAGATCATTTCCTGAACATAAATTACTTAGACTGAGATTACTGAATCAAAGCGTATATATATATGTTTTTAAAATATTTAATATTCTTTCATTCATTTGTTCTTTCAAAAATATTTACTGAATGAACAGTTTGGCCAAGACATTGCCAAATTGCCTTCTAGAGTAATTCTCTCACTAGCAGATTTCTCAATTTGTGTCAATACTGCATTTCATAATGTTAAAAATGTCCCCCTTTGACCAGAGTTTTAAAAATATCTATGATTTCAAGTTGTGCTTTTTAAAGAACATTATTAGCGAGAGTAAAATGTCTTTCCACATGCTTATGGAACATGTGTATTTCATCTGACCTCTCCCAGCTCTGCTTCTTTCCCTTTGTGTCCTTTGCTCCTTCCCCCATTGGTCTCCTTTACTTACTGATTAGAAAAGGCTTTTTTTTTCAGCCATTTCAAATACCTTTTCAAAAATTCTGCCTAGAGAATTTTCGAGAGTAAGAACATTTAGATTTTTATGTATAGTAGTCAAGTTTGTCATTTTTCCTCTTTATGGTTTTGTCTTTGGCATTCTATTTAAAATACCCTTCTCCACCCCAAGATAACATAAATATTCAATGTATTTTCTCTGACACCCACTATTCCCGATCAGTGGGACCCTGCCAGGCACACAGAGGCCTCCTACCTTCGTGAGCAGGCCCTTCACCGTTGGTTTGCCCTCAGGCTGCAGGGAAAGCGGGTTGGCAGCTTGTACTCGAAGAACATTCTGTAACACCTTAATCCATTCCTCCAATATATTGGGAGAATCTGCAGTCAGATAGTATGTGTGCTTTTCAGTGGTCAACTGGAATGGGATGAGAAAGAGACAGGAAAGGGAATACTGAAGATTTAGGCTTATTTGCAATTCCTTGTCCATTCTTTAAACATTGCTACTTAACATGGAAACAAACATGCTAAACCTTGAATCCTAGGTGGGAAATAAATGACTCCATAAGTAATTTAGCATATTTTAACCACTTTGTGAGAATTACAGTGATTAACAATCCAGTGAAATTTTTTTCCAACTGAAGTTTACTTTAAATTTTTCATAGTATTAAAATTTTAGGTCATGATTTATCTTGTTTACTCAAAACATTTTCCTTTAAATGTGCTATAAGCTCCTGGTTGTGAAGTGAGGAGCAGAATGACTGGAGATTGTACTAAAATAACACATTTTTAACCAAGCCAGGAGTTGTTACAGAAATGAAAAAAATCGCCCTAGGGTTTGGCTCAGTGGATAGAGTGTCGGCCTGTGGACTGAAGGGTCCTGGGTTCAATTCTGATCAAGGGCACATGCCTGGGTTGCAGGCTCAATCCCCAGTAGGGGGCGTGCAGGAGGCAGCCGATCAATGATTCTCTCATCACTGATGTTTCTCTCTCCCTCTCCCTCTCCCTTTCACTCTGAAATCATTCAATCAATTATAAATAAAATAAAATCTTGCATATAAGTTCTCGGAACTAACATGTGATCAGACATTATGAACTTGCAATTTTTCAGACTCAAATTAACCATACGTCAAATTTTCCAGATATTTAGGAAGCTTACAAACGACCTTTATCTGTCATGCTCCAAGACAAAGCTTCCATGATTCTCCTTTCTACATTTTGGGACAGTTCTCAGGTATTAACCACTGGAAACACTGATAATGTAACTTTCTAATAAATGTTGAAGTCTACTCTCTCGAGGAGCAAGATAATAATGATTATTAAAGGCATTTCAAAGTGTCTGAATTTAAATCACATATACCACACTATCTCAACAGCCTACGTCTTAAATGTAACAGGTTTCTGTCAAGACTGGCCTATTTGTGAGTGAAATGGTCAGCGGCTCCGCTATGGTGTGACTTAGTGGGAACTAATACAGCCCCACTGCTCACCAATATCCTTCCCATTTAGGTGTCAACAGCATCTGAAGTTCACAGAACTGTTACTTTCTGGTTCTGTATTTAAATACAAACAGTTCTGAATTTAATATACATTAAGCTACTAACATCTTCATTTATCCGATAACCCTCCCCTAAAATAGCTAGACAGTTTGAGAGCTGAGAATAGCTGGGAGACTAAGTATAGGGAAAGAACAGTATAAGTGATAAAGGGAAAATGAAGTAGTGGAGAGTTACTCAACACAAACTTAGCTTATATTTTGGTTTCATAAATTTTGAGTCATCAAACTGAACCCAAAGCAAATTTTTACAAAATAGTGAATATCCAATCTCCTCTTTATTAGTTTGAATAATTGAGAATTAAGTTTTGCATGATACAAAAACATAGTTTTTAAGAAAGTACCTGGACTGTTTGTTTGTTATCTCCTCTTAAAATACTGCAGGATGCACTAAGTTCAATATGGCCGTGGGGTTTTCTAATTACATCACTCTGTATGAAAGGAAGAAAACCAAAAGCAAAGTGATTACCTGTAGTAGCAATAGTAAGAAATGCTTTAATTAATAATATCACGGAAGAAAATCAATCAGGCGTTTGAATTCTAGTTTGAGGAATTCAGTTCCAAATAGCAAGCACTGCTCAGCTGGTTGGGTATTGACCTATGAACCAGGAGGTTGAGGTTTGATTCCTGGTCAGGGCACATGCTGGGTTGAGGGCTCGACCCATAGGAGGGAGCGTGTAGGAAGCAGCCGATCAATGATTCTCTCTCGTCATTGATCTTACGGTCTCCACCTCTCCCTTTCTCTCTGAAACCAAACAGCAAGCGCTTTCCACTCACCGGAGATTTGTAGTAAAGTAATTCACCACCTTTCAGAACAAACCATCTCCGCTTCCAAGTCTTGACTTTACCACTCATTTTTAATAAATAGCCAGATTTTTCCAGTGGCTCCTAATTAAAAAGAGATTTTAAAAAGTATTTCAGTTTCCTCTGGAAGCTCCAACTAGCAGATTTATTAATTTAAAAAACGAACAAAACCCGATGCAGTGCTTACGTTTTTCCCATTATCACTGGAAGACGAGCAAGTTTTAGGGAGCTTCTGCTCCGGCTGTGAGCACTCGGTGTCTGTGGAGTAAGCATCTGGAGGGATAGCATAGTCACTTTCAGAAGCCACAGAAGACAGAGACACACCTAGATGAATAAAGAAACAAATCAAAGTCACTATTTAATAACTGGGTGGTCCAAATGCTGGCTGTGAGTTCTCTGAAGGATACAGCTATTCCTAAATCATAAGCCTTCCTACGCTAGATTTAGTCTCATGCCTTTGGCCATGAAGAACTTTTAAAGCAGAAAACAGAACTAAAGGGTAAGAAGTAACATGCAAGTCTTTAAGGAAGTCAAAGGATCATTAATATTTAAAATGATTACAAGCAAAGCTATTTTTGCATATATAAAATATATACATTAGTCTACAAATGTATCTTTTATTAAGGATTAAAATATGTGCACTTGCATTTTTATATATAGGTAAACAAATATTTAATACTTTTTTCCCAAATATTTAATCTTAATTAAGATTTGCACATGCCGAAGCCGGTTTGGCTCAGTGGATAGAGCGTCGGCCTGCGGACTGAAGGGTCCCAGGTTCGATTCCGGCCAAGGGCATGTACCTGGGTTGCGGGCACATCCCCAGTGGGAGATGTGCAGGAGGCAGCTGATTGATGTTTCTCTCTCATCAATGTTTCTAACTCTCTGTCTCTCTCCCTTCCTCGCTGTAAAAAATCAATAAAATATAAAAAAAAAAAAGATTTGCACAATCACATTTACTTTTTGTAATCACCTTTAAAGTAATTCACATTTACAAACACCCCACAATTTCAGAATTTTTTTGTATAAGTCCAATACTACTAGTTTATAGATTTTAAAAATATTTTAAAAAGAGAAGCAGTATGATTTAAAGACATAAAGAGACTATTTCATTTGCCAGAGGCTACAAGAGAAAATTCAGGGAACATTTTCACAATAACTCACTTGGCTTTTTAGAAAAAGACTTGCAAATTGCAAGTTATATTTGGAGGGTCACTACAATGGAGATTTTGAATATATTAAATAAAATCAAGGACTTAGGTCATTATTCATTACACTTGTATAGCCAATATTAAAAATATTTATTAACATTTAAGGGACATTAGAGCAATGTCACTATATCATTATTATTTATGTGAATAAGACAAGTAACAGTTGTGATAACAGTAATGTCTTTTTTCTTTTAATGGAAGGACAGACATTTAGATCTTTATTATAAAGGACCTAAAAGATCATCTTAGCTAATCCCCTCATTCTCTAAGGAGACTAAAGGATTTGTCCAAAGTCAAATCACTAGGCATGGGCACTGCTGGAGAACAAAGCTCAGGCTCCCAGATCCAGGGCCAGTATGTTAGGCACCATCCTAGGTGCTAGCGATAGAACAGACAACAAAACAGAACCTCTCCTGCCCTCGTGGAACATAGATTCTAGTTGGAGGGAGACAGATAAAAAACGCATTAAGTCCCGTGGAAAAATAATATGTAGGGCAGACTAAGGGAATTTTTAAGAGTCCAGCAGTTGGAGAAGGCAAAGGAGTGCAACTGAATGGTGTGGTCAGCGCAGATCTCTGAGAGGGCAGTGTCTGCACAGGCACTGAAGGAGGAGCGGAGTCAGCCATATAGACACCTGGGTGAAGAAAACCAAGCAGAGGAAGCAACCAGTGCAAAGGTCCTGAAATAAAAGCGGGCCTGGAATGTTCCAGGAACAGCAGTGTGGCCAGAGCTGAGCGAAGGAAGAGAAAAAAGGAGATGAGGAAGGACATAAACGACACCTTATAGCCATTATGAGTCCTTGTAGTATTTTGAGTAAAAAAGTGTGATGTAACCTGAATCTAGCTGGGGGCTAGGGGGTGGGGTAGATAGTCAAGGTATGCACAAAGAGACCAGTGGAAGCCCAAAATACTAAACCTATGAAAACTGACGACTCCAGTTGAAAATGAGGGGTTTGGGAATACCTAGGGGTTTCCATGGAACACAGTTTGAAAACCAACAAACATATCATGGTGACTTGAAGGTTTTTGTAAATATAGACACCATTTAGTGTGATGAAATCTCTCTGTCACTTCTTCCTAAGCCAAAAATTTCTTCCAAATCCACTAAAAATCACAAATATATCTAAAGTAAATTTTTTATTGTTTTCCATCTTACTACCAGATTAATCACCAGATTTTTAGATGTATTTGTTGCCATTTAGCAGTGTAACAAATTGAGCTGAAATAAATCTATCCCATAAATTATCCAAATAAATTATTCCCATAATAAAGTGTTTTCTCTTTTACATGAAAGAAAAGGTTAAACAAAAAAGTCTATGTGGCTTGTCTGGAAACACGAAGAGGATCGCAAACGTAAATGTCTTTGTCCCAGGCTAATTCTCTCGTCACCGTGGTTTAAAATAAGTGCTCTGACTTTTTAAAAAATCCTATTATAGAGATAAAAGTCCCATTTAGCATTTTGAATGGTTTGGAGTTGCCTTGTATGCCCGAGCCTTTCACTCACCTCGCTTCATGGCTCTGGGGCTGCCTGGCCCACTCCGGCTGCGGGTGTCGGACTCTGACGTCCGGGAACTGCATCTGGAACTCTCTTCTTCCTCTGATCCAGAGGACTCGTCCAGGAACGGGCTGCTGCTTATCTGGGTCGCCTTCTACAGAAAAGCAGAACCACCTCTACGTGTCCATCTCTACAGTCACCTCTCTCTTTAGCTATAGAATGTTTTACCAGAAGCAGCCATGGAATAAACGTTTTTAAAGGAATGAAAGAGTATGTTTTGCCATTATCAAAGTCATGTTGTTAAGTCCCAAATTCTAATTAGCAAGGCATTTTGGCAATTTATAAAAGATTCCTGAAAACATAAGGCCATGAGTACCTGGTGATACTTATTTTAATAAGGTTCTTCAAGCAAGGGAGGGGAGCCCTGGCAGTGATACAAAGATCTTTCTAAATTAGTTTTCATTGCATCATTAGTAATATACTTCCTTTGAACCATTAAGTAAACCATGGAGGGGGTGGAGTATCACATGGGACATAACAAAATTGGATTCAGACCTCTAATACTGATAAGAAGAAATATCTTCTCCAGATCTTTCATTTCTTATCTTTATATGCTATATTAGAGTGAATTTCTAAAACTCCCTATAAAGGGAGAATCTGTGGAAACTGACAAGAATGAAATATGGAGCTTGAATAAACAGTCTTCTTGATCCGTCATGAAGAGATCCACATGTTTAACAGTAACAATAATGAGTTACCCCCTTCAATGTTGTATACACTGGAGTTGTCATATTCTTGTATATCAGAGATGTATAAAGTCCTGATGTGGTATAGGAAAGCATTGCAACAGAATCTGAAACAGAAAACAAAATTATTTTTTAAAAAACAACACAAAAACTTCTAACCAGCATCTAGGTCTATTTCTTACGAATGCGAATTAACAAAATTTCCAATTAAAAGAGAAATTGAATCAACACACATGATTATTGGTTATAGAGTCTACTTTAAGAATTATGGCATTTGCAGGTTTAATTACACACTCTATTACATGGTTCATTATTTCCTCATGTGTACTGGTTCCCCAACTAGACTGTAAGCTCTCTGAGAGCAAGGATCATGGCTTTTATTTCAATGGCATCTCCATCCAGCTCAGTCTGGGCAGAAATAAGTACAAACACCTGCTGACTGGTTCAGTGAGCAGTAGCCTATGAAGATATTCTCTGATTATTACTGACATGGTGTTAAAACATTATCATTCTTAGGCCTTTATCAGGTGAACCTCATGTTGAAAGGTTAGAATACAATCTCCTAAATGGTAAGAACATGAGATAGTTGGAAAGAAACAGAATATCAGTGATTATCTCTGAGATATGAATTAGTGGTAGGATAGGTAGAAGGAACCACAGGAAAATTTCTCTCTTTTTTTCATACAGTTCTTTGTGATTTTATTTTATTTTATTATAATTGGCATGTGTTGCCTTTATAATATATTTTTGATAAAAGAAAGAGACAGGGAGGGAGGGAGGGAGGGAGGGAGGGAGGAAGGGAAGGAGGAAGGAAGGAAAAGAGAGAAATGTGTTTTAAACTCTGGAAAAAGAGAACATAGAGACCAATATGTTTCCTTTAAACAGCTGAAACTCCACAGTTTCTTTGCTTTAGCCTTTTCCAGGTAAAACATAATGAGGTACTCTCTACATGAGAATGAAATGTTCATGTGCCCCTATACTGGATTTTAAAATATAAATCAGCAATCCTAGAAATCATTTTCTGAAAGGTTAAATAACTCTATTATTCTATTATTTAGACGTTCAGAAATTTCTTGGCTAATGAAACAGTAGTACAAAATCACTTATTTTTATATTTTTATTTTTTAACATTTTTTATTGTAGTAAAAAAAGTATAACATAAAATTTACCATTTTAACCATTTTAAGTGTACAGATCAGTTAATGTTAAGTAT